CGGCCCCTGCGGCTGCTGCAGCAACCGCGGCCAATGCATGGCGGGCGACTCCCTGCGCGCGTCCCCAGGCTTCCCAAATGCCTCCCCTCCTCAGTCCCCACCCTGGCCTGCCTGCACGGGAGAGTCACATCAGCCCCTTCCCAGACCCCACCCTGGCCTGCCTGCAGGGAGAGCCATCCCAGACCTTTCCCAAACCCCACCTTGAGCTGCCTGAAGTGGGGCTTCACCCTAGTCCCTTCCCAGATCCCTTCAATGTCCTTCCTGCACAGTATGGTCACTCCCCAGCTCCTCGAAGATCTCACCTTATCCTGCCTGTATTGGAGAGTCAGCTCCCCATATTTCTTCCCAAATCCCACACTATTTTATCTGTGATGGATGCTGGTGTTCGCTCCAACACTGGAGGCTCTTGCTTCCTCCCCCGCTGCCCCCCATCCCACTGCTATGCTCATCTACACTTCCAAATCTTACCCCAACCCTTCTGTGCTGGATGCTCTCCTTCCCACAAATCCCACCCCCTCTAGAGGCTCCCCCCCTCCATCCACAAACTCATATACCGGATGATCAGTCTTCCTATCTTCCCATCTTCTCTGCAATATTGGAGGCTTTTTTCATCCTTACACAGGAGGTCCTCCTCCCCCCCAATTCTCCTGCAGGAGGCTCACTCCATTCTATCCTGTTCTGGCCTCTCATCAACCAACTCCCTTACTCATTCCCCCCCGGCGTGATCTTGCCACAAATACTCTTTAACTCAAGAGTTCTCGTGTTAAAGTATTTGCGCAAGAGAGCGTCTACATTGGCATGTGCCTTTGTGCAAGAGATGTGCTTTTGCGCAAGAGCATCTGTGCCAGTATAGACGCTCTCTTGCGCAAGAAATTCATGTTGCACGTCTACACTGGCCTCTTGCGCAAGAACAGTTGTGCAAAAGGGCTTATTCCGGAGCAGGAGCATCATAGTTCTTGCGCAAGAAGCACTGATTTCACACATTAGAACATCAGTGTTCTTGCGCAAAAACTCCCCACCAGTGTAGACAAGCAGCATGGTTTTGCGCAAAAGCGGCCGCTTTGGCGCAAGATCGCGCCAATGTAGACACAGCCTTACACTTGAGGCTCATTCCCACCCTACCCCTCACCTCCTGTACTGGAGGAGCACCATTTTGTCACCTATGCTCGTCATATGTAAGTGGTGGGCAACCTGTGGCCCATCAGGGTTTTATGCGTGGCCCCGGAGACATTTTGTTTACTGTTGCCCATGTGCAGGGTTGCCAGGAACTGCTGAGTTAAGTGCATGCTGTTTGCACACAAGGTTGAATATGAGAGCCATGTGCTCTCTGCAGCCAATCAAAGTGCTGCTATGGTTCAGTTGGCACACCCTATACATTCTAGGTACGCAAGCACTTTGCAAAACTATCATGGGAGACCTTCTTGATTATGACAATCTTGTGGCCCACTTCGATGAAAGAGCCATTTATGGGGGCCCACTCACTAGCCTAGGTTGCCTATCAACATAAGAATTACCATGCTGGAACAGACTTGTCCATCTACCCTGGTGTGGGCACAGGGAGTTAGCCTGTCCCTGCACTAGGTCTCACCTTGAGTTCAAGGCCTGAAAGCATGAGGTTTATATCTCTTCTACTTTGCTATCCTCATACATGTTCCATCCCTTTTTGAATGTTAAGTTTTGGGCCTCAATAATTTCCTTTGGCAACGAGTTCTACAGTTTAATTAAGAATTGTGTGAAAAACTATTTCCTTTTATTGGTTTTGAATTTCCTACCTTATAATTTAATTCCTCCCTTGTTCTTGTGTTAGGAGACAGGGAAAAGTTCCTGATCTACCTTTCTCTAGTTAAGGTGTTATGTTCTGTTATCACATCCCCTTTTATTCATCTCCAAGAAGGATTCTAAACTTTTTCATCTTTTTTCACCCGATGGTTTTTCCAGGTCCTTGGTCATTCTTGCAGCCCTACTCTAGTTCTGCACTCTTGTGTTTCACTTGGGATGATAACTACTGGACATGATATTCCAGATGAAACTGCACCACTGACTTGTACAAAGTAATATTTTTCACCATCCCATTCATTATTGAACCTAACATTTTGTTTTTAATTGCAACCACACACTGAGCAAAGATGGTAATTGATTTGTCTACCATGACACCCCAAATCCCTTTCTGAATTGATACAAGTTACTTTAGAATCCTGTAAAAAGTATGGGTACTTTTACCCTTTAATCTAGCATGTGACGCTTTCAAACTCATGTCCCTTTAAAAACAGGTTTTTTTTTTACTCCTTACAAAGACCAGCA